GGGCGGGCGGGGGAGAGGGCGGCGCGGGCAGGCGGCAGGAGACCGTCCTGGAAGGCGGCGCTGACGGCGTCGTGCTCGTCCAGCAGCTGTTGCAGGGCTCGAATGTATTCCACGGCGGAGCGGAGGGTCTCCACTTTGCTCATCTTCTTGGCGGCGGCGCCGTTGGGCACGTGCTGGCGCAAGGTCTGGAAGCCCAGGTTCACCAACTTGACGCGGTTCCTCTCCCGCTCGTTGCGCCGAGCCACAGCGGCCGCACCGCCGCCTTGCTGCGCTGTCAGGCCCGGGAATGCTAAGCGTCTCTTGCAGCGCAGCAGCTCTGGCGAGCTCGAGCGCCGCTTGGAGCCTCTGCAGCGCGTGGCCGAGTTAGACGGCTGAACTTGGCCGGGACAGCCCGTAGCAGCGCCCCATTGCTGGGGCATCCCGGACGAAGAGGAGCCCGCGCTCTGTCCTGCCTGCACCTTGATCCCCAAGGAGCCGCTGCTGCTATTGCAACTGTGCAGCGAGTAACTTTTGCAAACCGCGTGGGCTGTTGGTTGCATGGTTGTTCCTATAGCCCCGCTGTTCATCGTGGGGCATTTACCCCGGTGTTGGTCTTAGTGTAGATGCAGTTTGCGAAAAGCCAAAGTTTGCTGCACAAAATCAGTTGCAGTAAAAAAAAAAAAAAAAAGTGACTGGAAGATGGATACTCCGCTCCTTAAGATGTCAAAGTTAGGTGCGCAACCTGCGCAAGAACTCCTTGCTGCGGTTGGGAGGAATGTCGGTTCCCTTCTCCTTTCTTGCAATCTTGTTCCTTGCGCTCTGTCAAGGCGCCTCTGCTGCGAGCTCCTCACCGCCGGCCCCTTATCAACACGCGCTGCTGCTGCCGCCGCTCGCGGGCCCCCGGCAGCAGCACGCGACGCACCGTGCGCCACACACACAATCCCCCGCCGCCCGCTTGGCTCCCGAGTCGCCTCCCACCCAATGGGAAGCTCGCTTGGCAACTTCGTGCGCCCGGCGCGTGGCTCTGGCGGAGGTTCCATAAACAATCCCTCTTCCTTGCGAGGAGCACGCGCTCCAGCTCATTTGCATCCCAATGCAACCTGGTCGGGGTCTGGGCGTGCTCCTTTCCTGCTTTCTAGCACCTGAAAAGTGTGCTGGAAAGGAGGCAACCTCTGCTTTGTCCTAATCGTGGCTTTCTTTGCCACAAGAACTTGAAACACTTTGCCCTATACTCCTAAATTAGGCTCTTCGGGTTGTATTTTAAAAAGAGAAGTACAGAAACGATCCTGTCTGTGGGTCTGGAGAGCTGCCTTATTTTGAAAAGGATGAGTCATTTCAACCCCATTGTCCACCTTGAGTGATAGAAGCCCGGGGCTTGCAATGCTTGTGAAGTCGATGCCACTGTTCACGGGGGCAACAGGTAAGATTACATGCAGCGTCCCTTTTCCCACCTTTTGTATACTCATTGCAGTGGCTGGAGGACTGGGTATATGGGGGTGGGGGCTCTTTTCTTGCAGCTAGATGCCCAAGTTGTGCAGATATTGACATGTGTTCAGCTGAATGCACCAAAGCTGTGTGGACACTTGAGAGAACACAGACTCATAAAACCCTAGCATTGGAAAGGGCCATTTAGGCCTTCGAGGCCAACCTCCTTCTCAATATGGGAATCTGAATTAAAGGATCTTTGACAGGTGAACACTTGGTGGTGGAGAGTAGAGGCAGGGTATGATACTGCTTTTTTGCACCCCATTCCTCTTTTTTTAAATTATTTTTATTGCTTTTTAACTAATTACCCCCATTCCTCCTAATGTCTGTATAGAATTCCCCAAATCCACTTAAAATGACTGAACTTGAAAATGTGTATTCATAAAGAAAGGGCTTCATATCTAAGTATACTGTGCACACATGGGGAAGGGGAAAGGGGGGTGGAGTTGTTGGAAACACTGAAAAGTATTGGAACAAAAACTGGTGAACTTTCAAACTGAAGCCAACAAGGAGGGAAGAAATTCTCTGTGAACACCAGAATTATTTTGCACCTATTACCAAATCCCATGCTTGCACAATAGTGCTGACAGAATACATGCATGTTCTGAATCGGACCACTTGGTCCACCATCTGATCTGCTGGGACTGGAAACAGTTTTAAAAAGAATCATATTCTGTGTGAGAGATTTGCAACCTGAGATCCTTTTTCCAACATTATATAGGAATTGGGAGGGACCAAGAAGAATGTTGTGCTGCTAAGATATAAGGCCAGTCTGCATTGCAGTTTTTAGCACCTTGACCCCTGTACATAAATTAGTTGGAAGTGAAGTAATCTTAAGAAATCCCTTTCTAGGTCCAACCCTTTCCTCCACTTCGACTACAGGGATAACCTGGTGTTGAGGTGTGCTTCTCAAGGTGGTGAATGCTCTGGTTTCTCTATCCCACTCACTGGTGCCAGAAAAGAAGCACCAACCACTTTCCTTTCAATGGGCAGGTTGAGGAGATGGGTTTCCATTGACAGACATTTTCTATTATTTCTATTGCTGATTCTCCATCTGGTACATCCAGCATAGGGCGGGGGAAAGAAAAAGAAAGAATTGTTTCAGCATTCTCCTGTCATTTGACTAGAAAGAGAAAGAGACAGAAGTCTTGTCAATTTTATCTAATTAAAGGAGGGAGGGAGGGAGGGAGGGAGG